GGGGGGGGGGGGGGAGGGGGATTTCACTGGTCAATTATTACGATTAGATAGTTGTGGTACTTTCGCTCTCACCGGTGCACGGGGCACCTGGCTATCACCGGCGTGCACATGCAAGACGGAATTCGTGGATAATGGGGTTTACATTATTTCGCGAATGCATCGGTCTGCACCGGCAATCGAGATAATCAGTGGTCTCTGTTGTGAGAGGTATATGATAATTTTTGGGCCTGTTGAATTACGACAGTTTGGGACAACAAGTTGAGATGTTTATCGGGATGTTGATGATGGAATGCGGAATGCTGGACATTTTTGATACATTTTTTTTATTCTTCAATAGCAATAAAAATATGGAGACCCAAAAATTCCGGACAAATAGGCGTGAACCGCACGGAGAGAAATTTTCTAGAATAATTCTTGTACGAGTACTGGAATTACAATCCATCGGCCGTGAAAAATTCTAGCGGTGTTAAGGTAAAATTTCTGGGGATTTCTGTGAAATTTTCACAGAAATACGGGGAAAATTCACGTTTTCCCCGATTAAATTTCTAGTGCACTGGAATTTTTCCTGACCGTCACTTTGCGCCTCTTTTTCCATACTAGCACTAGAATTTATCTAAAAAATTTCTCTCCGCGTTGTATAAAAGTGTATCATGAGTCATCTTTTCCTCATTTCTATCTCGAAATTTAGTGAAAATTAATACAGGATGATCAAATTTTATTCTGCGTGAGAAAAATTTTATCCTGATAAAAATAAAAATTACCGTGCCGCTAGAGTAAACATTACTGTAAAATTTACCAATCGTTCTACAATTTTCGTTGTTATCTACATTTATGATGCGTCAGGATAGAATTTCTCTAACGTAGAATAAAATTTGATCATCATATATTAATTTTTATTAAATTCTACTACTAATTTCGGAATAGAAATGAGGAAACGATGACTCATGAAACGTATTTATAGAACGGTAGGATAATTTTTATCAAAAGTTCCTCTCTGTGCGCGTTTTTTGTCAATTGCCAATGTAAACATTGACAGGAGATCAATAAAACTCCTCGGGTATATATTTAGTTGATCCAATAACCGTATGTTGACCGGGAACCTTCTCGTTATGTGTTATCTCACCGGTATTATACGATCGGATGTGATATCCCAGAATACGCGACATTACGAAGCCCAAACGACACGCGTTTTCACGTCTTTTTTTGTCAGGAAAACAGCGTGACTGTTCTCGCGTCATTTTGTTTTCCGTCTGCGTCAACTGGATAGAAATGAAAAAATTTGGCTGAATTTTTTGAAAAAACACTTTGAATTCGATTGAATTTTTAAGTGAAAATTAATAGTTACTATCAAATTCCCTTGAATTTTCAGGAAATTTCTTGAAAAATTTTGGAATGCCCTGAAAATTCAAGGGAAAATTGATGAACAATCAGAAAAATTCTGAATTTTCCTGATTGTTTGCTTTCTGATTGAAAAATTGAACTAAAATTTACAGTTTTCACGGATTTTTCAATGAAATTGTGAATTCTTAACGCCATGAAATTATGAATTCTCAATGAAATTTCTGTGCCCATGTTACTTGTTAGAAATTTTTCACCAATGTAGATGTTTTTAGACAGTATGTCCAATATTATTGGAGCCAAATTGTCCACTCATGTTGATCGATAAACTGAAAACCGAGTGAATTGCGAGATTATCCAAACTATATGCGCAGAGCGTTGGCTTTTTTCGCTCTATTCGGAACCAATTACTCCCATTCAATCGATCACTCGACATTCAGATAAAAATCGAGCATGAAAGGAGAATAAAACCAATTTCAATGGATGTTCAATTAAATTCTGGGAGCTATTGTAAAGGCGAAATGGCAATGCGATTTCCCATAAATTTTGGGTTTAATGCAATTTGCCGAAGATATTTTACGATCAAAATTATAAAGTCCGATGATTCCTGGACTGAAGTCTATTTCATGTCATTTATTCATCTGAAAATTGAAAGATTTCTGAATGTTTCTGAACATTCAGATTTCACTCGGAATTCACAACGAATATTGACTAAACTTTCCGACTGTCTAATCAACATTCAAGTTTGACGTGACGTATAATTTGCAAATTGAGGGTTGAAATGCGAATTCAAATGGTTTAATATAGTCTCCAGTTGAGCCCCTCTGGCTTAAATGAAGGCATTAAGACATTTTACTCAAGTCCAACGTATTTTCCTGCCAACAGTTGGAATTCTTCTAGAGATATTTCTGATGATCACGACAAAAATTTAATTTCTGTCAAAGATATTAAATTTTCTTCCATCAAATTGGTTAACATCCTCCAACTAAATCTGTTCTACTCCATCAAATATTCTCTGCACCAAAAATATCTCATCATTTACTGTCTTAATGGCAGTCAGAAATCGTGAAAACAGAATGTCATCCACCAATAATCAGCCATTGAAAAACATTTCCGTATCTAACGTCTTAAATTAACATCTTGACGAATTCAATCCTGAAATCTGTTATCTCCGTTGAATAATTCATCGATAAATCGAAAGTATTCAAATTTCAAATCGCCCAAATAGCAAACCTCACCTTTATCTGGTCCTGCTGCTGTAGCAGCTGTTCCCTAAGAAACTGCAATTGCAGAATCATCTCCGATAGTCTTCGCTCTTTCTCCACAAAGCTGTCGGCACAGAGGACCCTGTGGAGGGCCGCAGCACCGTCCTGGTTGGATTCCGTGTTCGGTGATCTTCCGGTTGCCGTTGGCGATGCAGCAAGGCTGTTCGATACACTGTTGATGCTGCTGTAACCAACACCATTAGGCCTACGGTTAATCAAGTTTTACTCGTTACATCGGGCTATGGTCAAACGATAGGGGGAACGAGGGGGAGAGGGGGTGGGGGGGTATATATTCGCGGTGTGTCGATGCTACTCGTGTGCCACTGGAGCCAGTGGGATGAGGCTGGGGGGCGTGGATGCACGACTGACGCTCGACTACCGGCCGAGTTAGTGAATAATAAATAGGGTCGCGGCCGCGCAATCTCGGCGGAGAGCGAGTGTTTGCACCGGTGATGGGTCCCGGGATACCATCCCGACGCCCTCCCCCACCCACACCCTTGTCTCTTTTGTACAGCGGGAAATGCGAACCACGAATAAGTGATACGAGGCGCTATTGTACTGTGTCTACATGGTGTATGAGTGACCTCACTTTTTTTTTTGCTCTCTTTTTTTGCGCTTTGGCATGCTGGTGTCTTGGGTTTTAATGACGGTGGATGTAGGGGAGGGTTTTGTTAAATGTGGACGGGATTCGACGGATTTTTAGAAGATTATTAATTCAGTGGAATTTCAGGGTTTTTTTTGGGAAAACTCAAAAGTTTATGGAGGAACCGATGGAAATTGTAAGTTTTTGGTCAGGAATTTCGTGGAGATTCAGAAGAATTTAGTGATGAATGATCAGGGTTTGATGGAGAATTCCAGGAAGTTCGAGAATTTTGATGTTTCTGATGCGCTAACATTTGAACTCTGAAATTTCATTTTTTTTCCACGGTGAATCGAATTTAATATCACTCCCCTGAAAATTACTAGGCAAGTGTCCGTGGAATTTCAATTTTTTTCTGACTGCGCTCTTCCCTTTGAGATATTCAATGAATGATGCGAAACTTCGGGAAAATGTTCTCGTTTAAAATTGATTATTTTTACCTGCTATAAAATTAATTTACTTATGTTGCAAGTATTTTTTTTAAATATGCCAGTTTTTCACTATCTGTTGGTCACTAACCGTAAATTAAAAGGTTAGGAATATTTTTCCATTAATTAACTGTCTCACACCCTGCTAGAGCATAATTGAAATTGTACAGACAGTTGACTAGTAATTTTCAGAATAATTGCATCAAAATCAGTTCAGGGAAAACAATCCTGAAATTTGAGGGTTCACAAAAAATTCAATAAAAATTCAATTTGCAAATTTATTGAACTGACATTTCCATTTTCTATTCATTTTTCAGAATTTTGAGTTTATCATTATGATAATTTATTAAATATTCACTATACGTTGGTAATTAGTCGTAAATTGAGAGGTTAAATTGCACAACTGAAGTACAGAGACGCCACCGCAGGGTGGCGCAGTAGCCAATCGCGTCCAACATTCTATTCACAGGAATAGTTTCTCATTAATTAACTGTCTCACACCCTACTGGAGCAGAATTGAAACTTGACAGAGAGTTGACTATTAATTCTCAGGAGTATGACACTGAATTCAATTTCAAAATCGTGAAACTCCAAATTTTTTAACAGCAGGAACCCAGAATTACCTGATGACTTGCTCGAATTTTCATTAATTGAAAATTGAAAAATACATTCACCAAATTTCTATCAATTTCCATGAAATAATTAGACCAAAATTTACGTTTCCATTGATTTTTCAAATTTCTTGAAATTTAGCTGCAACAATAATTATAATACTTTAACTCTTCTCCACTCGCATATTTTGAAAAAATTGACATTCAGGACGATAATCTGGGAGTTGTCCCCGAAAACAAATCTCCTAAATTAAGAGCGTCCCCTCTTAAAACCTTCAATCACAACACCACGAACCCAAAGACTTCTCAATCCGTTGAAACCTCTGAATACACCCCCACTTCACGATTTATTTCCATATATTTTAATAAGTTGAAGATAAATGCATTCGTACCACGCATTCATCCAGCGTTATATCATTTTTTTGTAAAACTCTTCAACATTAAAAACGTAGGTTGAAATGCGCGCGGTCATTAGCAAAGAATGCTTCTTATCCCCCCAGCTTGCTACGTTAGGTACATAAGCTTTTGCTACGTATGAATGCCCGTGACTGTGAAGCGGGGCATATATCCTTTTGGTCTCGATAATAATCAATGGCTTGAAGAAGCCGAGGCCGAGGAGAGGCTCTATTCGCGCCCAGTGACCCCGCTCTCTCGCAGGCCCTGTTCTCAACAAAAGCCTCATTCTGTCATTATTACTGTGCATGGCGAGAAAGGGGGAGGGGTAGGGGGGAGGGGGAGGTGAACCATCAGTATACAAGGCGTTGAGAAATAATCCAAGGGCTTATTTCTTACGTCAAGGCGTTATGGAAAACAGCCTTCTGTTCATACTGAATATTACTTTGTATCCAGATTATTCTTTTTATCATCTCTTTCTTCACTCATTTTCTTTTGATTTCTTGTCCTACACATGTGAAGAGCTACTATTTTTTATTCTTTCTGTGTATCAAGCGCAGTAATCGGAAGCAATTTCACAGACAGAACAGAAACAGAAATGGATTTATGAGTGGAATATGTTCTTGGAAATCAGAACAAAGTTGCTTTGATGATGAATTTTTTTGTTTTGATTGAGAGTTCGTCTGATATTTAAATTACAAGAGTTCTATTCTCTATTGTTCCATTGAGCTGAATAATTTTTGTTGTATTTTTAGTTCTTAAAGTTCAAGACAAATTTCATCTCAACTGATTCACTGTAAAATTGAACCCTATCCAGAAAGAAAATCCGTCAAACGTCATTGAAATGCCTAGCATATTCACTTTTTGGCCCGTTTTAATGTAACAAAATTTCTGGCGATCCCTGCAAATAGACGTGGCAATGATTTTATAATACCCCCCCATCACCCTCCCTCCATCTGATTAAATTCTGCTGCCAACAAACTACATAAAGCTACAACTAGACCAACGGTATTTACAAAATGCATCATTTCGAGACAATGAGACAAAGAAATATAAATAAAACGTAAGACCCGAGTGCTGTTCCCAGTTTTGGGGGATCAGTACTATCAACTTGGGAGGGGTCTGCTTCAGATAGCCCGAAAATAAACCCCAGCACGGCTGTTTTTCTTATCGCCCTTTCCCCCCCTCCTCTGAAGATTACGATAACAGCTTCAAAGGAGACAATAATGGGATGAAAAAAAAAAACGGTTAATGCTTGATATTGTCAGTACGAGACAGCTGAACTGACCTATGGGTATTGTGATTGGGTGTTGACGACAGTGGAGGTGTCCGCCTGTCGTCCTGCAGGGACAGGGCACCACTGTTGACCTTGCAGGTGAGCCTCTTCAGGACGTCGTCCATAGATCGTTTGCTAGCTGCTGCTGCTGCTGCTGTCGCTGATCCACCGTTATTACTCGTATTGTTATTATGCGTTACCGTATTATTGTTATTGTGCAAAGAGTGATGATGGGTGTAGTACTGATCGTTGTGGAGTACCGGTGGTGAGCCACACTCCGATGAGCCAGCAGCTTCCTGACCAAGGAGGCTGCCTGTGTTCTGATTATTGTACTGTGAATGCTGGTAGGATGAATTGGTTTCTTGATTGTTGTTGAAGGGAAGCCTCTGTCTCTTGTTTGGGGGTGAATTTGGTGATGATGAGGGTGAGTCCTGGTAGTCGTGATCACTTGTACCTGGTGATGAACATACGGATGACTCGCAGTCACCTCGTTGGTGGGTGTAGTCGCAGTCCTGTAGACGATCTGTTGTCTCGTCTCTTCTATAGTCAACGGGATTAATTGATCCGATTGTTGAGAGTATATCACCAGCCACCGATGTGGTGGTGTCCTCCTCCTCCTCGGCACCCGCCACTGTTCCCGCACCGCCCCCGCCCTCCGATAGCTTCGTTGGTGGCGACTTCCTCTTAGAGGACATCCTTAGTCTGCAACACAAGCGCAACGATAGCTCAGTTTTTTTTTTGCGTTTTGGTTTGGTTTTTTTGTATTTTAGGGGTTTCATTCGTTTTAGGTACAGTGGAAGTTAGAGAGTCGGCCGCCAAGGAGGAGGACTTCGGTGAGGCTTAGATTATTTTGGTGAAGCTTTAACTAGCGGAATATGCAATCTAGGGAATTTTTGAGAGTTTAAAGGTCAGATAATTATGGGAGTATATTTTTTTCAAGTGTGAGCGAGTCTAGATGTGTACAAAGTATTTGTGCACATCTAGAGTTGGCTAGATCGAATCCTTAGCCAATTTCAGCTTCATCTTATGTGGGTGTTATTGATTATGAAATGTTAACTTTTGCGAGATGTTCAGAGGTTTTTGGAACCATTCTACCGATTATTTTTTAACATGTCATGGGTTTCATTCGTTCAATATACAGCGGAAATTATAGATTGTGCCGCCAAGGAGGAAGACTTCGATGAAGCTTAGATTATTCTGGTGAAGCTGAAACTAGCGGAATATGTAATCTAGGAGATTGTTCAGGGTTTAAGGGTCAAATAATTATATGAGCAAGCTTTTCTCAAGTGCGAACGAGTCTGCTCGTGACTCAAAAACATTTGTAGATATCTAGATTTGCCTAAATCAAATCTTTCGCCTGGAATAATCTACTAATGAATCATTCGCTAGTTTTAGCTTCATCTTATTTTGGGGTTTATTGATTTATCATGAAGAGATGTCGGTTTTTGCGAGATTTCAGGAGGTTAGGGGGCTTTTAGGACCCTTGCACCGATAAATCGATCTTGGTAGGGACTTTGAACAGCTTGACCCAATCTGCCGGAGGAAATTGGGATGCTTGTCAAACGCCTTATTTGAACTTGCTCACAGCCCCCTGCCACCTTGAATGCTCACTCCTTAATGCCACGAGGAGATAGGGGATAGGGGTTTAGACGGATACATGCAATATTCTAGAGTGGTACCTGTACACTTGGGTTACAAGGTGGTAATTTGGGTGATAACGCTGTATGTTAATTTCCGGGCAGAAATTACTTAGTCTAAATCATGCTGTTAGAGTTGGTAGTGTAAATGAGGAGGAAATGTATTTGTTGGGGGGGGGGGTCATTCAAAAT